CCACAAGTCCCCAGGGACTAACTCATCTTCTGAGGGGGAAGCCCTTCCACACTAGCTAGAGGCGGGTGTCTCATTGGGGTGGGTGGCTGCCAACACCAACTGTACCATTCTGAGGCTTGGAAACCTCTGCTGAAACTCAAGCAGAAAGAGGAACCTTATAACTTCCTGCCACCTCCAGTCTGGGGCAGGTGGTTGAGGGCAGGGAGCAGAGGTAGGGGCCCTGGAGGAGGCCTGGGTGGGTCACTTGGGCCTCCAGAGTAGACCATCACTCCCTGCTGTCCCCTTCTTTGATTTCCCCTCAACTATTTTTTTTCAATATGTCCTTTTTATTTTTTTATAAATGTAGATTAATGTATGTCTTCTCACATTTTTACAAACCTTTTGGAAAAGCTGTAGGAGTATGTTATACCATCCATATCTCCACCCATTCAACAGTTCACACTTGGTTGTGTTCATGACTTTTGATCTGTCATATGCAACTGTGTTGATGGGCATAGAAATGAATATAGAAGTCATGTGAAGACAGCATGTTCAATAAATGGTGCTGGCAAAACTGGTATCCACCTGCAGAAGAATGAAATCAGATTCATATATTTTTGTGGTGGCACACATGTTTAATCACAGTACTCAGGAGGCAAAGGCAGGCAGAGCTCTATGAGACTGAGGCCAACCTGGTCTACATAGTTCCAGGCCAGCTAGGGCTACAGGGAGACTGTCTCAAAAACCAACCAAACAAACAAAAACACCTCAGATTCATATATTTTATCTGCACAAAGATCAATTTTAAATATACCAAAGACCTTATTTAAATCCTAAACACTGAATCTGCTAGAGGAAAACAGAAAATCCACTTCAAGATAACGTATAAGTAGAACTTTCTGAATAGGACTCCAAAAGCACAGGAAATAGTGCCAAGAATAAACAAATGGAATAAATAAATTTTTTTTTAAAGGGGAGCAGCTAGAGAGATGGCTCACTGGTTAAGAGCACTGACTGCTCTTGCAGAGGATCTGGGTTTGGTTCCCAGAAACCACATGGCAGCTGACAACCATCCGTAACTCCAGTTCCAAGGGATCCAACACTCTCTTCTGACCTCCGCAGGCATTGCACAACATGCAGGCAAAACACTCATACACATAAAATAAAAATAATAAATCAAATATTTTTAAGAAAGAACAAATGAGATTACATGAAATTAAAAGGTTTGTGCAGAGCAAAGGTAGCTGTCAGCAGAGTGAACAAACAGTCCAGAGAAGGGGAGAAAATCTTTGCCAGCTGTACTTCAAACAGGTTAATATCCAGAATTTACATAGAACTGCAAAATTAAACATAAAACACCATAAAACACCAAACGAACAATCAACAAATGGGATAAAGAAATGAACAGATAGTTCTCAAAAGAAGAAACACAAACATTTTTGAAAAGTGTTCAACATCCCTTGCCATACTAAAACTACTTTGAGATTCCACCTCACCCCAGTCAGAACGACTATTACCAAGAAATCTGACAACAAATGCTGGAAAGACAAACCCATATTCACAGCTGGTGTGAGTGTAAACTAGTACAACCAGTATGGAAATCATTATGGAGGCTTCTCAAAAAATTAAAAATAGAGCTACTATATGACCCAGCTATGGGACTCCTGGGCAGATACCCAAAGGACTCTGTATCCTACTACAGGGATACTTGCACATCCGTGTTCAGTGCTGCTCTATTCACAATAGCTAGGAAATAGAATCAGCCTTCTGTCTATTAACAAATGAACAGATAATGAAAATGTGGTACATATACACAATGGAATTCTATTCAACACTAAAGAAAAATAAAACTGACATTTGCAGAAAATGTTTGCATTGGAAAATATTATATTAGACAAGATGTCTCAAACTCAGAGACAAAGCTGCATGTTCTCTCTCATATGTGGACCCTAGTTGGTAATGTATACATGTATATAAAATGGATGTAAAAGTGAGTAAGGCCTAAAAAACTAGAAAGGAGACCAAGAAATGGTAAAAAGTGGTGCTGGGGGGGTGAATGCAAAGGACACGTGTGACATGAAGGCAGAAAGGAGACTGGGGGAGGGGAAAGGAAGGGGGAGACAAGGGGAGAGGAGAATCAGCTATAATACACTTTGAAAATGTCACTGTGATACCTAATCATTTGCATTCTGATTGAAAAACAAATTAAATTTAAAACTTTCTTTAAAAATGTAGCTGGGCGTGGTGGCACACACCTTTAATCCCAGCACTCAGGAGGCAGAGGCGCAGGCAGATCTCTGTGAGTTCAAGGCCAGCCTGGTCTACATAGTGAGTTCCAGGACAGCTGGGGCTACAGGGAGACCCTGTCTCAAAAAGACAAAAAAAAAAAAAAAAAATGTAAAAGAGGGACTGGAGAGATGGCTCAGTGGTCAAGAGCACATGGCGGCTACCAATCATCTGTAACTCCAATTCCAGTGATCTGACACCCTCTTCTGGCTTCTGTGGGCTTTGCACTTACATATATGCAAACGAAACACACACACACATATATTTTTTTGATTGATTTATTTTTACTTTATGTATATGAGTATATATGTATCTATATATAGACACACACACACACACATATATATATATATATGAACAGCACTGGGGAAGCAGAGGCAGGAGGATCTCTATGAGTTCGAAGCTAACCTGATCTACATAGCAAGTTCCAGGCCAGCCAAGGCTGTAGAGACCCTGTCTCAAAAATAAATAAATAATAATACAATTCTAAAATGGAATTCTAAAAAGAAAGACACCCCCCTCCCATGCAGCTCATTTCACACATGGTATGGGTGTGAATAGACATTTCCCACCTTCAGTCTCTGAAACACTGACCACTGGCCAGAAAACTAGGACATGTTCACCAAACTATGAGGATATGGGGACAAGGAGCCAGCTTAAATGGGATCCACAGTTCAAACAAGGGACAAGCTGAGCACCACAGAGATAATGACAGTAATGATTATAACCACTGACTAAAACATGAGGCCAAGGGCTGGTGCTCACACACAGGAAGAAGGACGGCTTCCTTTTTAGATAGGGTTTTGTTATGTAAACCCAGGCTGGCTTGGATATCAAGATCCTCCTGCCTCAGCCTTCTGCTACTGTGCCTAGCTACAGGAAACCCCCTCCCTTCTCTCAATTTATTTTATATGTATGATTGTTTTGCCTATATGTATATAAATGCACCACATGCCTGCAATGTCCACAGAGGTCAGAAGAGAGCATCAGATTCCCTGAAACTAACGTTACAAGTGGTTGTGAGCCACCATGTGGGTGCTGAGAACTGATTTTACGTAGTCTGCAAGAGTAGCAAGTGCTCTTAACTACTGAGCCTAAACATCTCCCCTCCTCTTTAAGATTTATTTAAAATTATGTTTATTGGGCTATTCAGCTATTAAAGACTAAGGTTAACAAACAAAATTATGTTTACGTGTGTGTGTTTATGTGGAGTATGTGCATGTGAGTGCAGTGCCTGTGGAGGCCAGAAGAGGGCATCAGATCCACTGGCGGTAGAGGCAATTGTAAGCCAGCTGACATGGATGCTGGGAAACAAATTGGAGTTCTCTACAAGAGCAACATGTGCTCTTAACAGCTGAGCCATCTCTCCAGCTCCTAGGAAAGCATCTTTACAAAAACAAAAACAAAAAAATCTAGCTTCATCTGGATCCATCTAGTTTCCATCCTGTAGAACAGGGTTCTCTGTCACTGTCCTTCTATGTTTGAATCTCTTCCTGGGGAGAACTCTGGTTCCAAACAGTATGGCTGTATTCTCTATCCTCCAGTACTCACAAATCTGCTGCCTGTACAGATATGATGGCCCTTAACAATCCCACTAAAGAGATTTAATTGTAATTCCTTTAGACTTTAAGCTATATATAACTTGGGCAGTGACCAGTGTTGAAGCAGAAGCACTACCTTCTGAGCCAGTTTTTTTTTTTTTTAATCATTTATTTTTATTTTATGATTGTTTTGCCTGTATGTATGTAGGAGCACCTGTAATGCAATGCCTGTGGAGGACAGAAGAGGGCATCAGATCCCCTGGAACTGGACGGCTGTTAGCCACCATGTGGGTGCTGGGAACCAAACCCGATCCTCTGCAAGAGTAGCCAGTGAGTGCTCTTAACTACTGAGCCATCTCTCCAGTCCCTGAACCAGGAATGGGTTGTTTTAGTTTTTTTTCAGTTGTTACCAACTTGGTGAGGAAAGGTTTTATTTAGCTCATATCTCCCAGGTCACATTTCATCACAGAGGGAGCCCAAGAAAGGAACTCAGGGCAGGAACCTGGAGGCAGGAGCTGGAGCACAGGCCATGGAGGAACACTGCTTACTGGCTTGCTCCCCTGGCATGAGCTCAACCTGCTTTCTTATACAATACAGGACCACCTGCCCAGGAATGGCACCACCCACAGTGGGCTGGGGCCTGCCACATCACACAACAATCAAGAAAATACCCCACAGACATGGCCACAGGCCAGTCCAATGGAGGCAATTCCCTAATTTAGGCTCCCTCAACACAGGTATGTCAAGCTGACAACTGAAGCTATCCAGCACAGGGTGAATAGGAGTTTCCTAGGAACAGAATGAGGCCAAGCATCTAAAGGGTGGCATGTGAGGAAGTGGGCTATGCCCACTGCAGCAACTGGAACCTAGGGTTTGCTTACAGTGAAGGGGATGAGAGGATGTGTAGGTGCTGTATGGAGTGGGTGGGAGGAGGTGGTTGGAAGGGCCTGGTACGTGAGTGGGAACTCAGAGTTGATGTGGCAGGTGCTGGAGAATTTCCAGAACTGTCAGGAGTAGGAAACATACCCTCCTTGAGACAGAGGGCAGCAACAAGACATCTGCATCCTCCACAACAGGGGCTCCATGGGGGCACACCCTCCCTGCGCTGTGACATGAGTGACATGTCTTTGCTTCCTGTTTCTCCCCCCATCAAGGGCAGTTTCCGGATCAGCTTCAAAAGAACAAACACACTCAAAACAAAGGAAGTGGTCCTCCTCGACTGCAGAGGAAGCAGGAAGCTGTGGCTGCTGGGACCGCGGCTGGAGCCCGGGGACAGTAGGATGGAGTCTGTGGCCCTGTACAGCTTCCAGGCCACAGAGAGTGACGAGCTGGCCTTCAACAAGGGGGACACCCTCAAGGTATAGAGGGCTGGAGCCAGGCTGAGTGGGCCAGTAGGGGCGGTGGGGTTGGGACCAGGGCCCAGGTAGTCTGAGCTGCCGGGGACAGGTTTGGTTTAGCCACCTCCACCCCCTCAATTTCTCTATCTAGGAAATGGGGAAATTATTAGTGATACTTTCTTGGGGGTCTTGTGAAAATTTGATGTGATGGCCATAGTGCCTGGCAGGAGTTGTAGCAGGGAGAGAGAACCAATCATGTACAGGTGTGAGATGGTCTAGGCAATAAGTACACATGCTAACCTACTAGGTTATGGGGCTAGGCTTTAAGTGCCAAGGACAAGCTTGTCAGCAGTGTGGGGAAAATGGAAAACAGAGTGATACTGTTTCATTTGTGCTCAGGCCTGGGGCAGAAGACTGTGGGGACCCAAGTTTAGTTTAAAGGTATCTAGTCTAGAGAGCAGTCTGACGTATCTCTACACTGGCTGGGGCCAGTGGATGAGGTGGATTGGTGGGGTCCCTAAGGTAATTACTGAAAAGACGGGTAGACTCTGCCTTCCCAGACTCCAAAGATTAGTGAGAAACTACTTTGCTAAGGGTCTACTGAGGAAAGGGTAAGCCTATCTACTTATGAGAAGAACGGGCTGATGAAGCAGCCTGTGCAATAGACTTTCACTGAGCCTTTGGAGGAGGTACAGGAAAGCTGGCCAGATGAATGTCAGCTCAAACTGTCCTTGGAGACTGGTGGCAGGGGAAGAGGGGTCGTTTCAAGTTTAAGGAGTGAAGGGCAATTAGCCTTCCCCTTCATTCATTTGACAAACACTGGAATACTGAATCCTGGCCAGGTACGGAGTAAGGTGGGGGGGATGGCCAAGGTGGTGGAAGGCCATAATGGGGTGGGGGTGCTTTAGTTAGGGAGGTCAGGGCAGCTTCTCCAAAGAGGTGACCCATGAGTTGAAACCCAAGGAGAGAGAAAGAGCTAGCTGTGCAAAGAGTCTGGGGAAGACAGAGGACTCAGCCTGAAAAGGCTCTGGAAAAGGCTCTCTGGAGGAAAAGCCTGAAGCAGGACTTTGAAGAATTTGAGAAAAAAGTGTGTTAGAGAGAAGAGAGGGGTCAGAGCCTGTAAGGAGACAAGCAGGTAGCTCCTACTAAGAAAAACTTCACGACCAAAAGACAATAATATATAAAGAGCTCTTAAGAATCCACAGGAAAAAAAAAAATCACAAAGAGGGTAACAGAAAAACAGGCAAAGGACACGGACAATTGTCAAAGCAGCAATTTGAGCAGGTAGCTACCCAGTCCCTTCAATAGCAAAAATTGTGTGATATATAGTAAGTGCTTAATGTTCACGCACCCAATATGCATTATTAATTAATCAATCAATCAATCAATCAATCAATCAATCAATCCTGGCTGGCATGGAACTTGCTATGTGGACCAGGCTGGTCTTGAATTCACAGAGACCTGCCTGCCGCTACCTCCAGAGTACTGGAACTAAAGGCCTGTGCCACCACACCCTATGCCACTGCATTTTAAAAACAACCTCCAAGGTTGCTGTGGGTATAGGGAGGTCTGTGTTTCTTCATGGGGTATCAGATAGGTGATGTGACATGATCATCTATGTGGACATCTGGGAAATATATAAAAAGCTTTAAAAATAGTCACTAGGCCTGGTGGCACGTGCCTGTAGTCCCAGCACTTGGGATGCTGAGGCAGGAGGCTTGCTTCAGTCTAGAGGTTCGCCTGGACAGTGCTGAGAGTCTCTGTCTCAAAATAAATACATGAAAAATAAAATAATCTGTTATATGACCCAGAAATTCCCTTTATAACCAAAGAGACCTTCCATCGGCCAGGACTCTGGGGCATCTGACACGTCTTAGGTCCAGTTCCAGACTCTAGCTAATTATCAGAAAGCAAACAGCCAGGGTCAAACAGGGTTGCTGCTTCTAGACACATGGCATTCTGGGGGTAGACACAGAGCACAAATTAGATACAGAGGTAAACCCAGCTGGGCATAGTGGTACAGCCTGTGATCCTAATACTCACGAGGGTGAAGAGGAGGGTTGCAAGTTCCAGATCAACCTGAGCTGTATAGCAAGATTCTGTGTCAAAAAACAAAGGCTGCTGCACATGGTGGCACATGCTTTTAATCCCAACACTTGGGAGGCAGGAGCAGGCAGATCTCTGTGAGATCAAGGCCAGCCTGGTCTCCACAGTGAGTTTCAGGCCAGCTAGAGCTATGGGAGACCCTGTCTCAAAACACACATACACACAAAGGGCTGGATGCCAAACACCTTTAATTCCACCATTCAGGAGGCAGAGGTAAGTGGTTGCGTTCCAGGCCAGGCTGGATACCCTGTCTCAGCCTAGGGTCCTAGGGTGTGGCTTACTGTAGAAGGATTACCTGTTAAGCACAAAGCCTTGGGTTCCATCACCAGTGCCAACGAAAGAAAAAAAAAAAGTAAAACCTATGTTTTACTTGGCATTACTTTATTACTTTACAATGGCGTCATGGGAAAACCACTGTAGAAAGATAGGAGAGTTGAGATTGCAGCATCCAGATTGCTGTTAAGGCACAGGTTATTATATTAGATCTCCCCTAAAATTGCTATTTTGGAAGGCTGTTTAGTGATGAATGCCCAGTGGTAAAAGAATGCAAACGCACTGTCCACGTTGCTGTTGGTAGAGGGTAGTTTGGGCACTGGCATCCATGCCCTGGTTCTCATGCAGGAAACTGTTTGGAAGAGCCACTCGCCTGGCCAGTGAGCAGGTTACCCTGCTGCATAGTTGCCCTCTGAGTGCATGCTATGTATCCAGGGACCTGGCTAACTCGGAAACTGAAAATATTTGGAAGAATTGTTGCTATACCGAATGTATACAGATGCTTCCCTACACAGTATAGCCATGCAGTGAGGGAAGTGCTTCACAGTACAGTGTGGAGCATGGAAGATGAAGCCTCAACACTCTGTGTAAGGACTCAGGGCCAGCAGAATTAGGGTGGGGCCCAAAACCCATCCTCCCGATCCAAGAACACACCTAAGTTCCCTCCAGGGCCAGAGTCCAAGGCTTGCTGAAGCCCTCCTTGTCAGGTCTGTGCAAGTACAAGGTCACATTCTGTCTTTTTGTTTTCATTCTTGATTCCTTTTTCTTTTTTTTTTTTTTTGGTCTTTTTGAGACAGCGTCTCCCAGTAGCCCCAGGTGGCCTGGAACTCGCTGGCCTCAATCTCACAGAGATCTGCCTGCCTCTGCCTCCGCCTCCTGAGTGCTGGGATTAAAGGTATGCACTACTACACCTGACATTCTTTCTTGATTTTTAAAAATTACTCACAGGGGGCTGGAGAGATGGCTCATTGGTTAAGAGCACTGACTGCTCTTGCAGAGGACTGGGGTTCAATTTCCAGCACCCACATGGCGGCTATGAACCATCCTTAACACCAGTTCCAGGGGAATCTGAAGCCCTCTTCTGACCTCTGCGGCATTGCACAGCACGGCATTGCATGACACAGGTACACTCACATACATGTAGGCAATACACTCATACATGTAAAATAAAAATAATAAACTATTTTAAAAAAATCACTCACTGAGCAACCTCCCTGGCTCTCTTTCTTATTTTTGAGACAAGATCTTCCAGGTTGGCCTTGAACTCACTATGTAGCCCAGGCTGACTTCAAACTTACAGCAATTTTCCTGCCTCTACCTCCCATGCTACCACAGACCCAATTTTGTTGTTTTTTTTTTCTTTTTTTCCCTACTGTGCTCAGATGAACCAGGACTTTGTACATACTAGGCAAGCACTCTACTGTTAGGTCCCACTTCAGGGTCTTTGCTCTGGCCACTCCTTCAACCATTTACTTAATAATTTTGATAGAATTTTTATATTGATTTTAATTGACTGTATTTTATACCAGTTTTAGATAGCAGGAAAATTGAAAAGACAGTAGACAGATTCTCACTGACCAGTCAGCAACCAGCTTCCTGCCCTGAGTTAATGCTTAACCCTAACATAGTGTGCTAGTTATAACGGACCAGGATTAACACGTTAGTACTTAGTACTGCACATCTAGACTTGACTGTTCATCTCTGTTTGTTAATATGGTGCATTAAATATTATTATCTTGATGCTGAGACTTTTGACATTCCTTTGAAGTTTATCCTAAAGTATCTCTTCAGGCCTCTCTCTCTCTCTAGTCCCTGCCTGCTTTCTATCTCCATTTCTCTCTGCTTTCTACCTCTAATTTTTCTCTGGCCAGGGCTACAGTGTGTACAGGTGGCCAGCCCCTCCCTCGCTGGGCTCCAGTGGATGTCGATAGGCCATGCCATGTGGCACCAAGAGGCTAGTGCCTCCTCTTCAGGTGTTGCTCAGAAGGTCTAGGTAAAAACCCCATAGCCCAGAGGCTCACTTTGGACACATGACCCTGAGCAGCCAGCCCTTGCTTAGGATGAAGCCCCCTCTTTGGCAGGCAGGTGCTCTGGGTAGAAAATACCCCACCACTGTCTGCTGGAGGAAGAGTATGTAGTTCTCTCTCTCTCTCTCTCTCTCTCTCTCTCTCTCTCTCTCTGTCATACACACACACACACACACACACACACACACATGCCCAATCTCCCCCCATGAGAAGCTGGCCCTGACCCAGGCTCACATCACCCTGGAAGGCCAATGGCACAGGCCTCTCTCTCTCTCTGTATCCAAGGGCCCTGGCAGCTCTGGACTCTACATGACTGTTAGGGTTCCAAACAGCAGCAGCTTCCCCCCTCCCCAACAGGGACCTACAGACTTTGGAGCCCAAAAAAGGGAACTGAGCTGATAAGCGCCTTGACCTTCGAAGTCAAGGGAAACAAACTCTGCTGAGAAGCAGCCTGCCTTTCCTCTGATCTCCAAAGATAAGCAGATTCTACCTGTTAACCAGAGATTTTAGAAGTTGTTTATCACAACAGCTTTTCTCTTATCTTAAGAGGGAAAAAGTAAACACTTCCAGACCCTAATCCTACCTGCTTTTCCTGCTTCCCCCTCCCTGATTTCTCCCCCAAACATTCCCGCCTTCTACACCCTAAAGCCCCCATATATAAAGTCCCAGCTTACAGCCCGTGGGCTGACATCTTTCCCTTCCCTGCCTGACATCTTTCCCTTCCCTTCCCTGACATCTTTCCCTTCCCTTCCCTGACATCTTTCCCTTCCCCGAGGGAAATGTGTCCCGTGCGAAATAAAGCTGTATCCCACTGAGAATTCTATCTGTGCCTCGCTGCCTCCTCCATCCGCACGCTCTCTCTCCAACATTTTTACCTATCAATGACTGCCTCAAATCTGAGTGTCTCTCCCTGCCCTCAAGTTCCTCTCTTTCAGTTTAGACCTCCTTCCCCATCATGGACGAGTGTAGTACTCCTCAGCACCTGTTGTGCCAGTCTGCAGCTGGACACACTAGCCTCCTTTTCAGGGGCCAGAGATGAGCCTCTGCTCTCTGGCTGTTCACTCTACCTTGGCCACTGTTCCCCCAATCTTCTCACCATCGTTTATTTTTTCTTTTCTTGCTGAGTGAAGAGACAGAGTCCTTGAGACAGGGTCTTATTACATAGCCCAAATAGGCCTAGAAGTCTGTGATCCTCCTTCCTCAGCCTCCTAAGTGCTGGAATGACAGGCATAAGTCACCAAACTGACTGATCCCCTCTTATAAATTCAGGGCTTGATACACACTGCAGAGAGGACTTTTTTTTTTTTTTTTTTTTTTTTTTTTTTTTTTTGCCGACCCCATGTGCCCCTTGGCAGGCTCTCAGCTCCAGCAGACATCCCTATGGAGTGATTTCCACAGCACTCTCCCTACATGAAGCTACTGTCTCTGTTTCCTTCTTTATAGTCTCTGGGTCACAGGCTCCTGTCCTCTGATACACCAGGGCTTAGCGCTCTAGCTACACCCGGTAGGAGCTCAGTAGGGAACTGCTAGTGACTGCGTCTGGGGACAGTAGAAAGGCCACGGGGGAGCCAGCAGGGCAGGCAGTGGAACACACAGGCTCTGAGCTTAGCTTGGGGAGGAGTACTCTCCCAGAGTTCAGTCTCTGGGGAAATCCCACAACTCCAAAGGCCTGGTAGCTTGGTTAATGTCAACAATAAGAATTCATTGAGGTGGACCTGGGAACATCCCTGGTCTCTGAGGAGGGATGGTGGGAAACAGTACAGCACACAACAGGGAGTAGCACATAGTCACCTCACAGGTGCTGCAGCCTGAGACACTACAAGGTGTTGGCCACAACTGTGCCCATTCTAATTTTTTTTTTAAAAATTCATGTGTATGCGTATACTGCCTGCATGTATGTAAGTACACCCATGTTGTGCAATGCCCAGGGAGGTCAGAAGAGAGCATCGGATTCCCCTGGAACTGGAGTTATGGATGGTTGTTAGCTGCCATGTGGGTGCTGGGAACCAAATCCAGGTCCTCTGCAAGAGCAGCCAGTACTCTTAACCACTGAACCATCTCTCCAGTCCCATGCGCATTCTTATAGATGTGGAAGCCAAGGCCCCAGAGACAGCAAAACCAGCTGGTGATCTCCATCCCTAGCCAGGCTGTCTTCTTCAAGCCCTGGCCACATCCTTACTGAGCAGGAGAAATTGTTTCGTTTTGAGTGAAAGTGGTCCTGAGCCAGCCATCTGCTTCCGTCTGTTCGGGACTACTGACTTTTTTCAGGCCAGGCAGGAAGAAAGAACACAGCCTGGCTCTGGTGCCATCTGGGAGAGGCTCAGGCCTGGGCTGAAGAGCAAACCCAGCTCCCTGGGCACTTCTCCTGCCACTCACACTAGGAAGTTTGTGCCTATGTATCTGCCATCGTGAGAGGGAGCCAGCACTGCAACTTGCTCCAGACCACAGAGGAGGCTCAGGCTTGGCTCCAGGGATATAGTGAAGATAGGGTGGGGTGAAAGCTGACAGGCCACAGTCCATGAGCACCCTCCCTTGCCCCATAGCCAGAGCCCCAGATCAACCCTGGGGGCTAAGTTTATGCTGTGTGTGATCTGCCAAGTTCACTCCTCTGAGCCTATTTGTAAAACAGCACTTGGTGATGTCACTTTCGGTTGCTTGAGAGCTGGGGTGACACATGGCAAGTGTACCCAGGCTTTCTGCCCCTTGTGACTTATCCAGTGACTCCCTACTCATTTCTGGCTAGTCCATTGGGGGTGATGGGGCCTTGTGGGCCTGGAGGTTGTCTGTGGGGCCCAAGAAACTGGACCAGAGCCTAAGAACTGGCCTTCTTAGCTCACAGCCCCTTTTATCTGTTCCTCTATTCCTGACCATCCACTATCACCCCAAGCACAGACTGTACAGTGCACTAAATTGTACATGACCTGAGGTGGCCACCAGTCACCAGTCACTTGGGCTGGAGCTCTCTGGCTCTTCTACCCCCCAGAGCCCCTGACTTTACCTCAAGTCTCAGTGTGCAGCAATTGGCTGCTGTGGGCTCCTGAGGTACCTAAGGTACACAAGTCTGACCCTACCCTGAGGCCCTCCAGGTGCCCTAGAGGTCTGGAGGGCAGAGCATTAAGTCGGCTCCAGTGCTCCACACCCTAACCCCAAACCTGGCCGGGCTCCCCACTGTCCCACCAGGAGGCATGGGCCTCCTGTAGATAGGCCCCTCCTCTGCCAGTGGGCAAGCCGCAGGTCCCCATGCAGGCTTCTGCCCTCTGTGAATGTCCTGGGAGCTGCTACAGGGACTTCAACTTCAGGAGTGACTGAGTATCTCTCCTGCCTACAGATCCTGAACATGGAAGATGACCAGAACTGGTACAAAGCTGAGCTCCGAGGGGCAGAGGGCTTTGTTCCCAAGAACTACATCCGTGTAAAACCCCACCCGTGAGTAGTCACTACAGCCACCACACCCATACCCACCCTGGAGGTGGTGCATCCCTACCTGGCCTGCCAAAACCAAGCTGGGATAGCTCTGAGCACAGCATGCTCTGGGACAACTGGACACTGGCTGACCAGTCTCAGACTAGGGTGGGCTGGGAGTCAAGTGGTGGGCTGGGACCTGGAACTCTGTGGTTAGGTCCTTAGCAGGTGACACCCAACGCTGCTGCTCTGAGAATGGCTGGGCAGCTAAGAAGTTCATGAAAAACAATGAGAAATATCTTAAATGACAGTTGAGCCATTGCTCAGTCACCCACCAAACCTTGGGCCCAGCTCCAGGGGACCCAGTGTTGAGACAGAGGGGTCAGAACAGTCTGTTCTTAGGAGATACAGGTCACAAAAAGTACTAACTATATGAAAAGGCAATTAGTCTTGAGGCACCTAACCAGGGAAGAACTCTCAGAGGGGTAGCAATAAGTGAGGACTTAAGGGACATATAGATGTTGATTATAGAAAAAGACTGGCTTTTGGCATTTTCAGGGGCAAGTGGGAGAGGGAAGAGTCCAGGATGAGTCAAGGGAGAACAATGAGGATAACCTCATTGTTCTCCCTTGTACCCCAGGACAGGCAGGAAAAGTCTCAGGTGCCTGGGCCAGAAGAGTGGGTGGGGGGATTCTGAGAGGGGCTCAGTCAGGGGTAGAAACAGGTAGTTGGGAGCTGTGCCACTGCCGAGCAGGGTGGGGGCCCAAAGAGTATTTCCTCTTTGTCTTTCTTTGCTTGTTTCCAAAGCCGCTGCCACCTCCGGCTTCCTGTGCTGAGCGTGGCCTTGTTTGGGGTACTCATCCCCAGACACTGCTGGGCTCCAGGCCTTCCTGCCAGAATGCACCCCTACCCAGGGGCAGAAGAGGAACATAGAGAAAGAGACACAGCATGCAGCCTGGGGAAGAGCCTGGTGGGGTTTAAGGCTTTCTTGAGTCAAGGCCGCAGCCACTGGATGGACTCAGGGATGGCCTTGAGCAAAGGCTAGAAGGGTACAGTGTCTGAACTGCTGAGTAGCCCTGAGCCACGGCTGAGGTGTTGGATCAGGCTGTCAGGGGAGGACAACAGGGAGGAGGGACCAGCAAGAGACTCAAGCCAAGGAGCCAAAGCCTCTGATGGCCCAGGTAGGCGGGTGGGGATGGGGTGCAGCTCTGGCTACCTGTGCCTGCACCAAGCAGGGGAAAGGTCAGGCCCTGGCTAGCTCACAGGGGCTCTCCCGGGAGTTAGCTCACCTTGGTAAACTTAGGCCCTGCTCTGGCTCAGAATAGCTGTAGGGGATGTCCCCTTTTTGGGTGTGAAGGTGCTGGGAGTGGAGACAAGGAGGGCTGTGGTCCCAGAGGCTTCTCTGCCTATAACCACTCCTTCCCTGAGCCCCAGAGTGGTCCCTGCCTCTGCACCAGAGATTATCTGCAGAATCTGTACTCTCAGAGTGGGGTTGGAAGGCAGGGAAGTGACTGTAGGGGCAGGGAGAGATCCACAGGAAGAGCATGGGCCCCAGGGCCTAGAGGTTAGATTAGAAGTTTGCCAGGGAAGGCAAAGACAGGCCCAGCAGAGAGGTGTGTGGGAGGTAGAGGATGAGCTTGTTATCACAATGGCAGCTGGAAGTACCTGCAGACAGCTGTTCATACAACCGCTCAACCACCCTCCCAGGTGGAGACTATTAGTACCATCTTACAGACCAGCAGAGGCACAGAGAGACTGAGTAGCTTGTCCAGGGTCACACAGCAGGCAAGAGCAAGGCTGGGATTGCTGCCAGAGGATTGAGGGCCAGCACAGGTCAGCAGGGAGGAGCAAGAAACCTATGGGAGCAGTTGTGGGGAGGATGAACCTCTGAGTTGCTGTGCAGCTGCCTCTCAGGAAACCCTGGCTCTTTCTGTGCCTCAGTCTCCACATCAGTACAGGGGGCAGCATGAGGCAGTCAGAGACGGAGTAATAAAAGCTGAGCTTTGGGGCTCTAGGAGGTGCTCCCCGTCCTTCAAGCCCCTCCACTGACTACAGTGACCCTAGAAATGCCCCCTAGAAATGGTGTTGGGTGGGGGTAGGGATGAAAAAGAAGGAGCAACCAGACTGTCGTGGCCCGCTGCCTAGAGCAGCAGCAGATGTGAATTCGAATTGTCCATGAATTGCCTAAAGAACCCTCCTGCTCTCAATCATCACCCATCACCATTGCTCAAGACGGTTCCTGTAGACATGGCTCCTGAGGGATGCAGGAACCCAGCCCCATCATGGGACAGCAGGAAGGGCCCCACCCTCTACCACCACCATGCCAAGCAGCTCAGGCTGGCACAGAAAGCTGTGCTGGAGGAAGGAGGGATCACAGTCTACTGGGAGATCTCTACCCTGGGCCTCAGCTTGCTCATGTGAATGACAAAGAGTTCTAAGCCAAGGCTTGGTCTAGACATGCACAGACTCAGGAGGTATTAGGTCTCTCCTGGCCCTCTGTGGTGGGTGCCTGCTCACCCCCTGCTATGAGAGATAGCCTCACTCCAGGCTGTCCCTGCCCACAGGAAACGGTAATGTCCTAGGCGGGGTCTGAATCTGGGAGGCCCTGTCCTGGATCCCCATAGCCATCTTCAGCTGTGTTTTCAGGTGGTGGAGAGACAAACATGCCCTGTTGTACACAGGCCATTGCTTCAGTCCATTTTTCTATTGCTCCTCAAAACACTCAAGACTAGTGGTGCCTGCCTATAATATCAGCTACTATAGTGGCTGAGGCAGGAGGATAGCAAGTTTGAGGCCAACTTGAGTTGCATAGTAAGACCTAAAAAAAAAATTTATTATTTTTATTTTATGTGCACGACTGTATTGCATGCATGTGTGTAAGTGCACCTGTGTTGCACAATGCCCACAGAGGACAGAAAAGAGCATCAGATCTCCTCGAACAGGAGTTGAGACCATTGTTAGCCACCATGTGACTGCTAGGAATTGAACCTAGGTCCTCTGCAAAAGCAGCCAATGCTCTTAACCACTGAGCCATCTTTCCAGCCCCACAATAATTTTTTATGTAAAAATAAGAAAAAAAATCCTCCCTGTTTACTGCAGGTGTGGGTTTTCCTGGCCATACTAGCTTCTGCTTGCCTCTGCTGTATAACCTCTGGCACCTTGATTTGCTTCCCTGTGCCTCAGTTTCCCCATGTGTAAAATGGCACATCACCACCTCCCACAGCCTGGGGCTGCTGTGAGAGAGAATGAGCATGCTGAATGCCCATCACACATGCAGCTGCCATGCTGACAGACACCTCTCTCAACAGGTGGTATTCAGGCAGGATTTCTCGGCAGCTGGCAGAAGAGATTCTGATGAAGAGGAACCACCTGGGAGCATTCCTGATCAGGGAGAGTGAGAGTTCCCCTGGCGAGTTCTCCATCTCTGTGAAGTGAGCTCCATGGCAGGCATGAGGGGGGCAAGGCCACTTACCAGGTGAAGGGCCAAAAGCCGGCAGTGGTCTGGGCCCTGAAGAGTGTGGGGAAGTGCTATAGGTAGCCTGGCATAGCCTCAGATGGCAGCTCAAGAGGTCCTGACCTCTTCACTTGAGCAGCAAGGAAGTTGTGAGATCTTTTTGGCTAGAGGAGGAAGGATGGTTGATGGGGTATGGAGAGCACTAGGGTGCTCCCAACAAGGTCCCAATCTATGGCAGTATTGTTGAGCAGGCAGGCCCTAAGGCCAGGCCATTCTAATTCTGGTGCTGGCACTTTGTGGCTGTGCAGCCTTGAGCCAGTCACTTTATCTCCCTGAATCTCTTTCCTCACATGTAAAATAGATCATTGCAAGAATGAATCAATATACTTAAAGCAGAATGTTGTATTTACTCAGCCAGGAGGAGAGCACAACTTATTCAGAACAGAGTCTAGCATCAAAGCAGGGTGGCTGGACTGGGAACTATCTGACTGGTGATGTGCACAGTATCTCCTCAGTCATGGTATGGCAGAATAAGATTGGAGGTGATGGCGTCAGCCCCTGCTGGCTCACCCTGGCAGGGTGTTGGCTTCTGAGCTGGTCCAGGATGGCTGGGAGCTAGGAAATAACACTGAAGAGGAGAAAGTCACTGCCCTGCAGGGACAGAAAACAAGGAAGTATGTACATCAGAAGGGTGGTCAGAGAAGGTCACTAGGGTCTCTGATCAGGGAGGGGCTCCTCCTGGTCTCCAGGGGAGACTTCCATGTAGAGGAGGCAGCAGTACAAGGCCCTGTGGTGGGATGCCCTGAGCTGTGTAAGAACCCAGAAACCAGGTGGCTAGAGTAGCAGAAGCAAAGGGCTAGGCCTGGGTCACAGTCAGAAAGAGGAGGGTCCTCATGGCAGAAGGCCTGATGGACAGCTGGGGTTATATTTCAGGGTCATAGGGAGCCATGGAGGGTTTGGGGCAGGGGAGAGTGTGATGAGCTTCCATCTGTAGCAGGCCCCACTGACTGAGGAGGAAAGACTATTGGAGGTGAGGTAGCAAGAGACAGCAGGCTCAGAATTAGTGTGTCAGGAGAGAGAGTAGTGTCAGGACTTTGCAGGTGGCATGACTTGGAACAGTCAGACCCACCAGCAGCATCTGCTCTGTGGCCATAGTAGGAACTCTGCACTGCCCTACTGCTCTTGGCAAAGGAGTGTTGGGATAGGTGATGCTACTTTGCCAAAGGAACAGAGGGAAGTGTGGCCTATGTCTCTTCTAGGATGCTTGTTCCCAGGCCAGGCCTAACCCAGCCAGTAGCTTTCCATGAGGTCAGCAGGCCAGGACTGGGGCAGGAAGTGAAGACACACTGTGAGCTGTGGGTCTCTCAATCTCCAGCTCTGCCTGCCTGCACTAGCCACAGTCCACCCACTGTATGGAGCCACTGCTCTGGGGCAGAGTCCCACTCATCTCGGGTCCTGTCCCTGTCCAGCTGTGCAGCAGTCATTGGCTACTCCCAGATTGGTCTCCTATGGCTCTCCAGTCTTCTTGCCTGAACAGTAGGCCACTGTCCCTACTGCAGAGTCCTGAGGCTATCTTGAGCACCACCCACCAATGTCCCTATAGGCCCCAGCTGCTACCTCACCTGCTGGAAGTAACCACTTACCAAGTGCCACTGTCCAGAGCCAGGCCAGCTTCTGGGAATGGCACCTGAAAAATGAGTGGCCTGGCCTCAGGAACTCTTAGAAGGCTCCCCAAAGCCCAAGGTTACCTAGTCAAGTAGGGGCACCAAGGCTCAGACCTGGCCTGGAGCAGGAGCAGAGGGACACTGCTCCACCCCACCCCACCTGAGCTGCCAGCAAGTCCGGCTGCTGGGCTGCTATGAAAGTATGACCTGGGACAGGGGCAGAAGGGCTTAAATTGAGGAGCATGATGGGATTTACACAGACCCGGAGGCTCCACCATGAGCATGTATGGAAAGATGTCCAACAGGAGACCCACTCAGAGAGGTGAAGGCATGGGGAAGGGATAGCTGAGCCAGGAGCTATTAACAAAGGAAAGAAATGCCAGGGACAGATTCAGAGGCTGGACCATGAGGGCCGTTTGGATGGCCACAACCCTGACCGGGAGGCAGTAACAATGCTGAGGAGTTCTTTAATGGGGAAACCAAACCTAGAAGCCCCAGGAAAGATGTGAGAGCTGCATTCAAAGAAGCTCAAGCACATCCTCACCCATCAACCCCTTGTAAGGTGTCCTGGTCAGTCACCCAGGTAACCTCAGATGTGTTGCTGCTTAAAACTGCAGTTGCACATGGAACCACCAGGTGGCAGTCTCCATCCTTGCTGCCTTCTAGCCTGGGCCAGGCTCCAGAGACTAGGTAGGACCTGTAGTGAGGAGCCCAGGATGGGAGGAATCCTAGCTCTGACACTTCCTAGCCTGTAAGCCCAGGCAAGTCATCCTGAGAGCCTTGGCTTCCCCATCCCTAGAGTGGATGTTGGTGGAAAGAAAGCAGTAGTATGAAGACACTATATAAGCCGAGCTCTGGCTCTGATAATTGCTACCCACAGAGCTGAAGGTGAACCCTGAGGGGTCTGCTCCTGAGGCCACTTCCTGCCAGCCTCTCTGCCCTCAGCTCTCAGAAAAGCAGGTGATTGGGGATTCTGGGAGCCCTGGTCTCCCCCAGGTTTGATGACTGCTGTGCAGCACTTTCTTGATGGTCACAACCTCCCTGGGATCCCACACTGAAGCACAGTGACCCCAGAGGTCAGCCTGGAAGCCTAGGATGTAGGGCTTCTCCACCCTCCCAGTTGTCGCCGTGGTGGCCTCTCCTGCAAGCTTATGCTAAGCTCTGTAAAGCTGTCAGAGGTGGCTTTATGGGCCTCCGGTGCTGTGCAGGTGACAGGGGCCACAGTCAGCTTCCTGGAGAGGTTTCAAAGGGCTGCCCCCTCATCCTCCC